GACACATATGTAACACCTTAATCAATAAAGAAAAAATAAAGTGTGTGCAGAGGACTCACTGGGGCATGGCAGGAAAATGGTGGAATTTCTTTTATTTAATTTTTATCTCTTAATTTATGGATGTTTTATAAAGCATAGGATACATTGATATGGTAATATACATATATAATTGATAAAGAAATAAACATACATATAATGGGAGTACATGTTCAAAAAAGTTTTACTAGTAGGGACACAGTGAGAAAGCATGGAGTCGCTGTTTAGAGAAGAACTTTTCAGCCAGGCCTGGGTGCAATTGAATCTACCCAGGCTCCTGATCTGCCACACACACTAAAGTTCTGGCTGGAGGCAGGGCACAGGCACAGGTGTTAGTTACTGGTGTGCTGATGGCACCCTTCATTAGAATCATTATTTTCCAGAAGAGATTCTCTTTTATCTTTATTGTTGAAAGTATTACATATGTCCCCTTCTCCCTCCCCACCCTTGACCTCTCCTAGCCTGCACAGGCCTTCATCATATTGTCTGTGATTCTTAAAGAGTTGCCTGGAGAAGTCTGGGACTCCACAAGATCAAAAATGTGTTCATAACAGCACTCACATGTATTTGCCTTTCTTGCTCTCAGTGTCTCCTGCATGTACAGAGGGGTTTTCCAGAGGCTCCATGACATAGAATGATGTCATGTCATCATTCTGGAAGTTAATGGGATGTTTGCTGTGAGTTCTGTGTTTTGATTTTTTTTTTAAATTTTGTTATAAAGTGCTAGATACAAATAGATATAATGCACATGAATAAAAGCTCTATGAGGTACTTACTAATTTTTAAGAGTATAAAGGGGTCCTGAAACTAAAACAATGTCATATTCTAGAGGGTGCAGAGAGTAAAGAAGACAGTCTAGAAGGTCATGAGATAGAGATAATATAGCGGCAGGAGATATGAATAAAGACTTCAGTTGGTTAGAATTGTAAGAGCATTGCATACATGTTGGAAATTGGACTCCAAAGGCTTTTGCTTTCATACCATCTTTACAAACATTTTTAAGTCTTGGCTAGTGTAGCTCAGTGGGTGTAGCATCATCCTGGACACCAAAAGGTTTGATTCCAGGTCAGGGCACATACTCAGGCTTCAAATCCACAGTTAGGGTGTACCCCCTCTCTAAATCAATAAAAACACGATTTTTTTTAAAAACAATATTTTGCCTGACTCAGTGGGTGAACATCCACCTGTGAACCAGGAGGGTTTCTGAGCAGGACACATGACCAGTTTGAAGGATCCATTCCCCAGTGGGGGGGCATGCAGGAGGCAGCCAATCAATGATTCTTTCTTATCGCTGATATTTCTATCTCTCTCTCCCTTACTCTAAAATCAATAAAAATATATTTTAAAAAGTGAGGTAAATGAACTCAGGAACTTCCTATTTTCTTCTTGCATCTCCTGGCTGCATGCATCAAGCTTTGGGAGCAGTAGAGCCATTAGAGGAGAAGCATCATCAGGTCTATGATCTACGGGCACAGGTCACAGGCAAAGTTATAGAGAACGAGCAGACTAGAAAGGGAAGACTAGTGGAAAAAAGAAAGGAGGTCAAACTAGAACAGCAGAAGGAGAGAGGGGAAGGAATGGTTTTGAGGGACATTTTGTAGACACACATCATGGAAGTTTGGATGTGGTAGGAGTGGGGAAGACATCTAGAGGTGGGTAGAAAGATGAAATAATACCCTTCCCAGAGTATGGAAAGAAGAGGGAAGGGATAAAATATCATGAGTCCAATTTTGGGTGACATTGAACTTTCACCCCTGTGTGGTATAAAGGTGACATTCCACATTTTTGGAAGCAAAAATCTAGACAAACTGAAACAAAGCCAATTCTTTCCAAGTCTTATTTTTCAGCCCTCTTATGTCTAGGTTTCTTGCTTTTTGGGAAGTCATCAATTTCTTTGAGACTCTGAAAAAAAGCTATTGATTGGCCCCACTTCATAAAAATGATGTACATATTCCAACATAAAATCGTGCATGTGCTGTATACAGTTGCCAACCCCCACAAGTCCATGCAGGACTCCAGATTGAAACCCTGCCCTACTTGGCTCTAAACCTGCCCTAGTTCCCTATCTAGGAGCCATTCGTCTGAGTCAGAGATGATTTGTTAAATATAACTCACTTCCTTTTTTTTTTTAGAAATCCTGATGACTTATGGTCAAATGCTTATGTCCATCATGCTGATTGAAGAATTGTAATTTTTAACGCTGGGTGAGAGTTCAGAAGAATGGAGAAAAAGAGGTCAATCTGAAGTTTTGAGATTCCTCAGGGTGTATATTCAGACAGGATGGAATGCAATGGCATACACAGTGCCACCTGAAATAATGGTTCCAATTGACCCAGAATCTGGTAAGATGAGTAGAAAAACAAGTAGAATGACACCATAAGAAAACAATCAGCCAAATTCAGAATGTGGGCTCTTCTCCAGAACAGAGGACCTAGTTGCCCTGACAAATGAAGAGCATGAAAAATTAAAAGGAAATGACACAGGATAAAAGAAACTTCAGACACAGTAGCAACCAAATGCAATAGGGTATTTGTGAAGTGGACAACCTGAGAGATTAGAATACACTCTGGATGGTATTGAAAATAATTTAGCTGGGTGTAACAATAGTGGTTATATCAATAGAATATATTCTTCAAATAATGATGACACAGATGTGTGTGTGGGTGTGAGGACACAATATCTGGGATTTGCTTTGAAATAATCCAGGAAAAAGAGGGGGTGAGAAATGAAACATATTTGGCAAAATGTTGATAATTGTTGAAACTGGATGATGGATGGATGGGGCTTCATTATACTCTACTTCCTTGTAAATTAACTCCCCCCCCCCCCAAAAAAAAAGGGTCCAGAAGCATAGATGAATCAATCATCTATGGGTCCATTTGCCTTCGGTAGAAAAATGTATCCTTTTATAATTGCCCAGCACACGGATGCTGCCGTTTTTCTTTCTTCTCGTCCTATTTCTCTTTCCTCCCTGCCTCTCTGCTCCTCCCTCTGCTTTTCTCTTTCTGCACATTATTAAGGCTTAGGGCAGGAACCCTTGAAGGAGCACAGGGCCCTAACACCTCCTGGGAATTAGCACTGGCAGCCCTTTCCCACTCTCATCCAGGCCCTGGAGTCCTGCTGGTAAACCGGATGTCTTATCCTCATATAGTTATTATTTTTGCAAAGTTCCCTTGTTATGCATGAGTGAAAGATGTATCCTCTGCCCAGGTATTCCTTGAAATAAAGACTTTTGGGAAGTGTAATCTTAATATGTGGGCCTTTTCCTTTCATCACATATAAACAGAAAACATCAAAATTTGCTCTTAAATAATTTATCTTTTAATATTGGCTTTTGTGAGGAGTTACAATTATTTAGGAAACTTTTAATAACCCAACTGAGTAAACAGAAATCTACTTAAACAACTAAATGTGCAAATTCCAAATGTTTTACAAGTATAAATAATTCCATGTTTTCACATTAAGAATGAGAATGTCAATTCATAAAATATTAAAATATGAACCTTAAAAAGCATAGATGAAAACACTGAAGACTAGTAGAGCACTAGTCCAGACCAAAAAAAAAAAAAAAAAAAATGGCAGCCTTTACCTCCGGGGACAATGTGTTTCCCCTGCCATTTTTTCTAGAACAAGTATGACAGTGACACAAAGCACATATAGAAACCACAGGCCGAGGATAGACATTTCCTCATACTGATGAACAGGAGGTCACTGCCGTATGCCCCAGAAAGGCATTCACACAGCAAATAAAACCATCACCGAAGGCCACATCTTCCCAGTGACCTTCTCCAATCCCATCCCTGTTCCTTTCCAAGGAGGTAGAATAGTCAGAGACAATTCTATATTGTGGCTGGGAAGTGGCTCTGGCCAGTTTCATGAAGAAGAAGCATGAGATGTTAATAAGTTGACCACTGATGCAGTTCCTTCTTTCCTTGAGCAGGCAACGGAAGTGCATCAGAGTGGCCGACTGGCCGACTCCCCCGCTGCAGTCAGGAACGTGCCTGGCTCCAGAACATGACCCACAGCAAATATCTTATCTCAAGAAGACACTAGGGCGTTTTCTCCAGAGCAGAAGAAACAACTTCATTTAAATAACCTTAAAGTTTGCAATAAAATAAATAAAGTAAACTCCAAACAGAGGACCTTTGACAAGGCAGCGGGTTGAGTTCATGAAAGCTGTACGTACATGCGATGGCCCAACAACAACCAGAAAATAGGTTATTATTGTTCAGTCTTTGGACTCCAGGGCAGCATTTCAACACAATAAAAAAGAATACACAAGGGTGCATTATGTGTCCATGTTTTTATACACACCTCAGTTCAAGATAGCATGCCTAGAAGTGAAGACTGTGATAACCAAGAGGCACACATCTTCCCGGTGAGATATTCTGATTTCTACAAGGTGCATATTGTAAGGAGCAGCTGGATGCTTTGCAGTATGAACTTCGTCTCAGCAGCCTCAGAATCACAGTCCGAGGGAGAGGAGTGAGGCAGGGAGGGAAACACCACCAACTACTGTCACTGAACATGTCCGTTTTCCCTGAGCTTCCCAACCTTCTCACAGAGGCCCGTGGGCTGCGAGGACTCAGCTTCCCATCTCTGAGCAGTGCCGATGGAGGCAGGTGGAGTGGCTCTGACCGTGTCTTGTCTCTTTTCTCGAAAGATGACCAAGCAATCCTGGCACACATTCCAAGTCCAAGTTCGTCAAGCAAGCTCCTGGCCTCCGCTTGCAGGAGAGGAGGAGGAAAAGGAGCCCCCGAAGGAATCCGTCACCATCTGCTCTAAGATCACCTGGGACTGTTCCTCGGTTACCAAACTCAAGGCCATGACCGAGAGCTTATCTTTCCTCTCCTGCTCAGAGACAACCTCGAGCCTCTGAGGCCTGGACCGACTCCAGTGGCACCAGAGTGGTTGGAGGATAGCACCATGTTGGCTAACGGCTGGGGCTGGCTCACCTGTTGGCATTAGCTGTACATCTGCTTGAACTGAAAGCACTCGTTACAGTAGCCGTTGCACTTGGCATTGCCAAAGTGATCACAGGCAGGGGCCCGGCAGCGCTGTTTGGGGGGCTCTTCGGGAACGGGCTCTCCCCGGCCCACCCGCTGGCCCAGGTGCTGGCACTCCATGCAGAGTTCCTCGTTGCGACAGGCCAGGATGTTCTTGCAGGAGGCCCGGGCACACTTGGGCCGGGAGGCAGTCTGTGTGGTTCGAGGCACGTCTCTGCGCTGGCTCGTTCTCTGAGGGGAAAGAGCAGAGAGGACTGTGGTTCACATTTCTCAGGGAGAGCGCCAGGGGTCTCAGAGGACAGTGTGGATGCCACCAGGCTCTGGGGGTGAAGAGCATCTGCCTGAGCAATGAAACAGGGGCTCACGGGAAGCTTGTGAGCAGGACCTCTCCCAGCACCTTCCCTTCAGCCCCCCCAAAAGCAGGCCTGGCCCTAGATAGGCCTCCACTCCTAACCCGGAGGCCTGCAAATGCTGGCCGGTTCGCTGCTGTTTAGGCAAATCAACTGCCACTGTTTATTGAGACGGATTCCTACATTTTGTAGACAACAGGAGAAGCATCTATCAGTCAAAGCTTGCTTTTCTTCTATGCCATCCAGGAGGCACCTGGGTCCTCTGCCCCCTTCTCCCGTCTCCTCTTGGTAAAGAGTTATGTCAGAAAGTCTGCTGACCACTTAAGTGTTTGTGCTTCTCCTGTAACTTCAAGAGCTTTGTGACAGCCACCTGGCTTTGGGAGGCGGTAAGAGGTTTTATTCTATGGCTAATCTTACTTGCTTTTTGAAATGAATTCTAAGGAATCCTAGTATGTGGGCCATGCAAATGATAGTAGAGAAGGGAGTATCTCAAAAATGTCTTACCAGCTGCTCTTCAGTCCGTTTGGCTTCATGAAATCTCTGGTTTTGAGCTTCAATAAAACACTTCTGGCAGTACCCTTCAAACACCGTGCTTCCGAGGGTGCCACACTCCCGCCCCAGGCAGGGGACCGCGTTCTGGAACCTGGAGGCCGCGGGACCTGCTTTCCCCGAGGCGGCCACAAAATCTGGAAGAGAATTGATACCCATCAGTACCACATGTGGGCTACCAAACAGAGAGAAACGATGGCTTGAAAGAAAGCAACAGTGTCCAAGTACAGATTAGGCCAGCCTTCAATATTTACATGAGAGCAGCCTTTTATAAATTCAACGAACGTTTAAAAGAAAGATAATGCTGCCATTGAAACATCTTTGACTTTACAAATCTCTCACTTCGAACTTGCCCGCTGGTCAGGCACGGGTAACAGAATAGAGACACACTCACTGCCCATCCTTCTTTCTAATCAGAGATTTTAAAACTGCAGATGGTTTCTTACAATGTCAGTAGAGACATCCTTGTCTCCAGCTGCTACTCTTCAGATTTTGAGTTTCCTCTGTTATACTAAAGTTTCAGGAAAAGTCTAGTTTAAACCCTACCTTATAAACACAACACTGAACAACCCATGGAAGCTAATTCTATGCACTCTCCCTACAGGATGCATTTGGAACATGGTATTCCGTGCCTTTGGCTTCCGTGTGTGTGGCTGGCAGAGCCAGCCAGTATGACTGTCCCTCTGGGTAACATTCTACCCCACTGCCCAGAGGGCCTCCTTTCTTGAAGTTCAAGAACAAAACCCTTCTACGTAGGGGTTTTAAAACAGAGGTTTAGAGAACCCAGCATTCCACTCACGTTTATTTTCTCTGTACTCGATGAAACACAGCGTGCAAAAGCCCTGGTTTTCGGGAGTCCCAAAATACATGCAGCCAGCCTTCCTGCACTTGCTCGTGCCCGTCCTGTCCCCAGGAGTGCGAGTGGCCTGAGAAGAGCAGCCAGAGGGGGTCTCGTTCCCAGCTCTGCGGCAAGAATGAGGGGAGAGACTCTGGATGAGCTGCGCTGGGTCGGACTTGGACCTCTGATGACAGGAAGGAGGGATGCTGGAGCTGAGGTTTGAGGCGGGCTCTGCCGTAGTCCTTTTGAAGCAAGTGCTGCAGATCCCATTAAATGTCCTGGTGACGTCCTGGAGGCAGGCTCGGCACTTACCGGGATCTAAATGCCTCGTGCTGTCCGGATTGCGGCCTGCGTTCAGTTGCCGGGCATTGTGGCAACGCTCACAGAATCCGTTGTGCTGCACGTTCAGCGTGAAAGGGCAGCCGGGGCTCCTGCACTTCATGGCCGTGGTCTCGCTGAACAGGAAGAGGCTGGGCGCTGTCGGAGGGGCTGAATGGGGCCCCCCGGCTGGCTCCTCGGGGCTCCAGGCCGCGGGCTCGTAGGCCTCGCCCCGAGAGGCTCCAAGCACCACGCCCGGGCCCGGCTTGGGGTTCGGCTTGGGGGACTTGTGCTGGTTCTTTTGCTGCCTCTCTGCGCACTCATGGCATAAGGGCTGGGTGTTCACGGACATGAAGAAAGGACAGTTGGGTGTTTCACATTTTACATCCATGAGGGAGAGCTGGGGCACAGAGGGCTCCAAAGCATGCTGGGCGTGCAGCTCTCTCCGCCCCTGCTCCGTGTTCTCCTGCCACTTCTTGTACTCGTGCTGGACAAGTTCAAAGTAATCGTCGACCAGGTTTATTTCCTTTGGTAAGTTAGCTTCATCCAACCTGAAGACCGAAAGGAAAAAAAATATGAGACTTCTTACACATGCAAACACACACACACACACACACACACACACACATATGGCAATACAAGAGCAAACTTAGAATGTGGATCTAGAACCAGCCATTGAGATGCAAGCCTATTGTGAAGACTTGGCACATTACACAGTCCAGTTCTTAATGATTTCAGGAATCAGTGTCTTCTTGAATCAGTATATCTAGAATGGTGGATAACTCTAAAGAAAGGTCTCCTCCAGGACTGCTGCTACACTTAATGGCTCTATGCCTCTTCAAAAAAAGTCATGTTTACTTTCTAACATCTCAGAGATCAAATTTCTAGTAAACTATTCCTCAGGTATTCTTTGGGGACCAGTCTACTGTATGATACAAATGACTTTGCCACTTTGTGTTTCTGTACTTTGCTGTTATTAATTTTAAACTAGGGCCTGGTCTCTGCTAGAATGCATGGCCATGAGCAGTACCCAGAGGCAGACAACCCCCTAGGCGTTATGTATGACTCTCTGTAACTTGTTGCTCTCCACTTTGGGAAACACATTCTCTTCGGTCTTTAGAGGTCAACTCCTGTGCACGTCAGTTCTAAGAAATAGGCACCACTTCAAGATGAAGCCAGCGTCTGGCATTTAGATACCTGCGTGCACTCGGAGTGTCTCCTCCCGTTTCCTTGTGGTGAAATCACGTGGCTGCTACATAAACACATTCTACTACTCAGTCTGGTGTGTCTGTCCTTACCAAGAAGCCAAGAAAGAAAAAAAAGGCTCTTGTTTCTAAGAATTTTCACTTGCTAGTCTAGTACTAGAGAAATGAAGAAAAACAAGTATCCATGATGTAAACAAACTTTTTCAAAAGCCACAATTCTGACTCTCAGCATCCATGTGTGTAGGAAAATCACGCTAGATAAATTACTTGCTCTCATTTGAAACCAGTTAGTAATGCCTCGGGTGAGCTTCTCTGACGCTGGCAAACCTCTGAGTTTGTTTCACACCGGAGGGAACTGCATTCAAAAACTTGACTGTGGAGCTAGCTTTGGGGCAGCGTCAGCTTATGGGCTGAATTGCAAACAGTTTAGGAGGACAGAGGTTGGCGGTGAAGATAAAGTGCTTACTTTGCAGCATTGATCAAGTGGGTGGTGCCGTGGTCCCAGCCTTGCACTGGGATTTCTATCACCATCAAGTACTCTTTCAAAAGCTTCTCCTTCATCTCGTTTTCAGGATCTGTCAGAAAGTGAACTTTCAAGTCTTCAAATCTCCCTCGCTCTCTATTAACAAGTGGAACGGCTCGGATTTCTGAGAGGGAAAATAAGACAGAAGTCAAATATAATTCTGCTAAGTGAGATGTGTGAGGCTCTACACACAATGGTTAAAATGTTAAAATGCAGAAAGGACACAATTACAGAGTGGAAAACTATAATCAAGCCGCAAACTCAAAGGGGAAAACAAACTCCGCTAAACTCTAATATAAAAGGCAGTGTTTCCAGGAAGCTTGCGGAACATAAAGCAGCGTGGAGGCAGCAGATCTTGCTGGCTAAATTCCCACACTTCAGAATCAGACTGACCTGAGTTCGAATCCTCACTCTGCCACTAACAAATTCTGTGATATTAGGCAAGTTATTTGCCCAACTCTCTGAGCTTCAAGTGCCTCAATTGTAAAATAAGGTTACCCATGTTTACAACACATAGAGATGCTGTGAGGATAAAATGAAATAAAGAAATATGCCTAAAGCACTTACAAAGTGCCGAGTGAACATTAAGTTATTATAGAAATAGCTAACCTGATAGACATTTACCGGCTCCATGCCAGACACTGGATTAAGGATCTGTGTACCTTAATTCGTCACTTATTAATAGAAACTAGAAGCCTGGTGCATGAAATTTGTGCACAGGGAGGGGGGGTCTCTCAGCCTGGCCTGCACCCTTTCCAATCAGCGACCCCTCGGGGGATGTCTGACTGCCAGTTTAGGCCTGATCCCATGGCAGTCAGACATGCCTCTCGCAATCCTGGACAACTGGCTCCTAACTGCTCACCTGCCTGCCTACCTGATCCCCGCATCTATCCCCCTGCTGGCCTGTCCCCCCACAACTGCCTCACTGCCAGCCTGGTTACCTCCTAACTGTCCGGAAGGAAGTGGGATGTCCAGAAGATGCCCGGTCACCTGGTCTAATTAGCATATCACCCTTTTATTAGTATAGATGATAGTAGTAAGATATATACATGTATCTCCTACTTGCAACTAACATGCTGAAAGTAATTCTGAAGCCATACACAAAAGGTAAAGGAGTACTATGATTACTGCTATTGGAAACCAAGCAAAAGATAGCGTACTGTACTTAAATAAAAAGAATATACTTCCATGGGACTAACTGAATAAGGAGCAAAAGAGCAAACCCTGACATTCAGAACAGGGTGTACCGCTATCTGCCAGCAGTTACAAATGTGAATGAATGCTCAGGTTTCTCACCAGGCCCACTGTCCTTCAGGGTCACCAGGGGTACAAAGTGTTGGCTGTCGTAGCCGAGAACAATGGGGTATCTGTAGCATTCCTGGGCAGGCCAGTGGAGAGGCAAATAAATTCCGCCCACCTTCAAAGGAGCGAAATTGGAGCCCGATTCCAAACTTCTCAGCATTTTGTCTGTTGAAAGAAAAAAGAAAAAATAAGGCCCTCAGGTGACTCTCATCAAATTCCATTCAGCTACTGTTGCTGGTAACTGGGGCAGTGTAGATTTTTTTCCCTTAAGAGTAAAAGCATTAAAAAGCACTTGCATACAAATAAGCGATCTGTAGGCAACTCACCTGAAATGACAATGATCGGCCTTCTGAGGATGTTGCAAAGGACAAATATGTGTACTTCCTCCAGTGAATTATACGGAAGGCCGCTCCGGGCGCCTGGTGTGTCGGGGGATGCCATTCTGATAAGGTTGTCCCATTCATCAGTCCAGTTCTGAAGGGAGAGAGGGGCCAGGAGGGGAACAGTGTTTGAATGTCCTCTGCATTAAAAAATCATTCTGACACACTCTATGGTTATTCATTTATATAACTCGGCTTGCTTTTCCCCTTTCTGGAAATCATCATTCAAATGATCACCCTTCTTTCCCCATTTTGGTTTTCTTCCCTTACAATGTTCCATTACAAGGCAAACTCAGAAGTGGGGGAGGATGACAGGGACAGCACCTGCTTTCAAAAAAATCCCTGATGAGGCATAACACTGAAGTCCCTCATCCAAATATACACAAAAATTCCAAACTTGTGACTGAGAATGGCGAGGTCTGAATTTGACTGGCTGGCTCAGTACAGCATGCAAAGGACAATCAAACTGAAAAACTGCCACAATGCCACAGGGAAGGCCAGGGATCAGAATGATGAAGCTGAAGCTAAGAGACACACAGCTGGGAATCTGCTGCCCTGGAGTCTCCCAACGGTGACAAAATCCCCAGTTCATCCCACAGGAGGTTTCCACGGACAATGTTTTGCTTAGCCAAGCTCATGTAACCTAGTAAATTGTGTGCTTCTGAGAGCAGGGGCTGGCCTAAGGCACTCTTTCCCCCACCAGGGAGGTCTGTCGATGGATGCTTAACGGGGGAACAAAACATACCCGGGTGTCGTAGCAAAGCCCCGTTTCCACAAACTCCTGAGATTTCAGAGACTCCAGCTGCCAGCGGAATTTAAAGTTGCGTGTGTCCGTCTCCTTGAGAGTGCTGTAGAGTGCCTTCCTCAGGACCAAGTCCGTGTCCTGAACACCCCACATGTACTGAGAAGCAGCATGCATGAGGCAGTTTCCATCACCTGAGGACATAAGAGAAGCAACTTCAAGTAATCCACATACAAATCCAGCGAAGCCTCTCAGACTGAAGGGGCGTTCACGCTATCCTGGGAGACCCCCTGGGGCATATAGAAATGCAAATGGCTGATAACATTTCACAGATGATGGCAGGGGGAAAAAAAATCCTTATTTTTTATGACTGATATCAAAAGAGCAAAAGGAGCCAGGGACAGGTAATCACTGGACCTTGGTCCAGCCCAGGTTTACCCGAACTCATGTAGGTAACTTGGGGGGAAATTCCTTAATCTCTCTGAGTCTTCTTCCTCTTTGTGAAATGAGGGCATTGGATTGTGATCCCTCAAGTCTGGCTAAGACACTGGCGATATTTACTTGATGTTCTGGCTAAGACACTGGCGATATGGCCTTCTGACTCCAGCAGAGTAGACCCAGTGCAACGTGCACAGACCAGGAAGCCACTTGTCTCCATTCACTAGACAGGGAGGGTCTGGCTATGACTCAGTGGTAAATGACTTGACCATTCCACTGTAGGCTTTGAGGCCTGGGAATTTCCTCTCCTGGTTTGTAAAGTGGGATTGAGAACACACACAATTATCTACTGTCACTGGCAATTATTTCATCTGCGTTTAAATGCCTTGTGAGAAATTGCAGCCCTTTTGAAAAGTTAAAGGATGCTTGGATGCCTACATTTTGAAAATAATAATTTAGGGCTGGCATTTTAAGAATTTTGAGCAAAAAAAAAAATAGATCTAATTTTATTCCATTAATTTGTTACTTTTATATAGCAAATTTTATAGGCTAAAATTCACAATTAAAGAGACTGCATTTTCCCAACCCCCAAATAATAAACATTATGGGAGACTGTTTAATAATAATAATAATAATAATAATAATAATAAATTTATTCCTTAATCTCCTTGGAGAGTGCACAATTGTTTTTAAAAAGAAAAATACAACTCTTTGCTTTGTATAAGTAGGGCAATAAAGCTCTCTGACATTGTATCAAATTTTAATTATAGTCAAACTGTAAAACAACAATAACAACACCCCTGAAATACATATCCACGGCCAGTACCCCTTCAATTTACACACTTGGAAAAACTAACTACATAAGTATCACACAAATGAACGAACAAGATCATTTGTGTCTTGGCAGAAGTGTGGCAAGGACTGCATTCTGTTGAAATTTCCCCTTTGCAAAATCTAGAGCAAAGATAAGGCCTTTTTTTTTTCTTCTTGTTGTGCTTACTTTCAGTTCTTTATTGAGATGCACCAGTATAAAATTCCCTAAGTAACATCTGGAATTCCCCAGTGCTAACTTATTTGACTAGCAATTGAGCAACAGCTATTGTACTTTTTGTTCTGGTGTGTAGACATTTAAACTGCGAAGTGCACCCTGGACTTTCCAAGTGGGTGTGGTCAGGGTGAGCTGGAATAGGGCTACTCATTATACAAGTGAAATCGCGGCAGCCAATAGACGCTGGAATTTTTCACATGAAGTTTCAACTTTATGCCACCTACTCCCTTCCTCATTCACCGCAGTCTCATATCCTCAAATGCAAACTTGTGAATCACCCCCTCCCCAGACCACTGATTTTGTAGAACCCACCTATGGGACGAAGGCTGCTTTAAAAAGGTGCTAATAAAAAGCAAAGAGGAAAAGTCATTTGCTTCCCCCATCCCCTAAGTATCTTCCTTTTCCAGAATTTTTAAGACATTTTCTTGAAATTGGAAAATAAAAGGATTCTGAGCCTAAAAATCCCTGTTTCCAGAAAATGTCACCAAAATGCATTGGCTTTTGTAGTTTTCTTATAGGGTGAATCCTCATTGATTTAAATGACAAATCATTGCCAAACAAATGTTTACTCTTTATTTCCATTATTTTCTTAAGGAAACAGAGCCAGTTAAACCTAAAATGTCAGTTAATGAACATAAGATGTTCCTCTTTCTGCCACATTTCTAATTTGGCAGAATCTCTGTTTCCAACTCTCCCCAAATTGACTCCATCTCTCTCTCTTTTTTTTTGTAACAAAAAGGGAGAGAGTTAAAACCACAAGCTGTCAGGAATATAAACCCCTTGATGATGACTTAACATAATTACCTACTTCTATGCATCACTTGATTTAATGCCAAGAACGATGGTAACACTAGCAATCCCCAGGTTTTTTTTTTTTTCTGTGTTCCTAAGAATCTATGCTTCAAAAATATAAGCAAGATGTTGAGATGATGTACAAGACCCTCCAGAAGCAAAGCAAAAACAAACAAACAAACAAACAAACCCATAGCCTCAGTCACACCAAGTTACCCAAGCTAGAAATGGCCAAAGTTAATGTAGCAACTAAGTAACTTAAGTTAATGCTCTTATCCTCTCATTGTCCACCATGATTTTCTGCATGTGGATGAATGTATTATTTGATTGGGATGGTTTAGGACTGTATCTGATCTAAGGACCCGAGATCCCTGCCCTTACCTAAACTATAAGCATTTAATTGATCTTGGACCGTTTACTTGCTTAGTGTAATAATTAGCTACATCCATAAAGTGGAATTTTGTATCTGCATGAAACAGTATGGTTGGATGTTTCTGGGCCGTACACACTCTTGCTCAAAGGAAATAATTTAAAAAAAAAAAAAAAAAAAAAAAAAAAAAACCAAAAAAAATAAAAACACAGTAAAGCTCAGAGCAGAAAACAGCTACTAATGGTAAAAGGCAGAGACTGTAAGAAATTCAGTACTATCCCTAAAAATAATGAAGTAGAGGTCCAAAATCTGCTAAAAATCTCAAGTACCTTTCTAGTTCATAACATGGGACCATAAGCAACAGAACCTAGCTAAGGGAAGAGCAGACAACAGGAGTCCCCTTTGTCCTCATCAGCCATTCATTGGCTAACCCATACAAGGCCATTAAGCCAAGAAGTGTAAGACCATCATCACAAACATTCTCTAAGGACAGTGGGGAAACAACAATAATACCAGTTTTCACACCATGCTTTCCTCTTGCACTAAAGCCTTATAATACTTCCACTACTGGCCAGGGAAGTGAATTTTACAGACGATTAAACAGTCGCAAAAATTAATTGCATTAAGTCATCTAACAAGGGCCTGGTGTTCAGTAATGCATTCCCCAAGCCTTCATGCACTCTGCTCTCTAATATACACAACTAGAAAATATCCTTAATAAAAATATTTCCCAAACAAGCTAGCTTTCATCACATGCCCCCAGAGAGTTTCTATACTAAGGTGTCACAGGCCCCAAGAGATTTGTGTTTGGGCTAGTGCTATTAAAAGGGAATGAATGGGGACCCAGCACTGTGGAAGCCACATACACAGTCACACACACACACACACCACACACACACACACACACACACACACCAAGCAAAAGCATGTCTTACCATTCGTCTTCAAAGCTACAAGTTTCCTGACTTCTCGACACCAGTTGAGCTTCTTCTGACTTTCCAGGGAGGCCTGGATGCTTCTGTCGATGAGGGCTTTGTGGATGATCTCCCGAAATTGTGGACAAAACTGGCAAGTTCTAAACATTTCCAGCGTGTACCGGTGCATGGATTTTAGATGATGAATGATCCCATTGGTAGGCTTAAATATATCTTCTGGAGTCCTCTCTCTAATCTTCACAGCTTTCCGCATATTGCTCAAATACAAAGCTTGAGGAAGGAGTTGCTCAGCCATCATGTTCTTCCACAGCAACTGAAGAGGAGGAGAAAAACCCATTCCGTTAGCCTGACTTTGATATACTTCCTATATACCTGCCCGCAGGAATCCCCAGCGTTTGATCTCGTCATTACCCTGATCTGTAGGCAAAAGATCTTAGTCACCTCTACTCCCAGGATACTAGCTGGCCTCAAAGATTAACTCACACTGGACTGTTTTAAATTACATCACTTTTAAAGATTAGTCTAAACAAGAGAAGGAAGGCGGAGAGTGGGTTCTGTGGAGGAGGAGGGGGAGGAGGAGGAGGGGAATAACCCTGTATTGGAAAGACAGTAAATATTTTGTGAAAAATCCTGCAATTGTATGCTGTCCCCTAGGCATCTGACTGGAGTTTCCTCTTTAGCCCCAAAGAGAAATATTTACAAAGCGTTTATTTATAAATTTATTATATTGTTGATAGAGTTAAAACTGAATGTTGTATAACCAACAACAAAAAAGCCTATGTCCAACAAGATGCTTTGTAACTTTAAGAGCAAATGATCAGCAAGCCTTTCCAAACCTAGTTACTGAACTTTAAAGATCAGAATAAGAAATGAAATAACAACAACAATAGGATGATAAATTCTACATTTCCAAGAACAGACATTGGAGCTCAATTACTTCAATGCAACTGCCAACCAAATTGTATTCTCTTCCTCCAGGTACCAACACTCAGATGCATTTCCCATCCTGTCTTTGCCCTAAAATCTTCAAACCCAATCAACAGGTGGAAGGAAATGAACAGCTGGAAACAGATGAGGAAAGATATTTCAACCAGGTGGCCACGCAGGACATATGAAAGAGGAAGAGGGCAATACTCAGCATCTACAACCCTTCCAACAGTGTGGGATGACATGAACTGACACAAGGTGGGATCCTGCAGCGTGGAGAGCTAGTTCTCACTCACTGGCCCTTAGTAGGCTGCCTCTAATTCCCAAGAGGAAGACAAAGATGATTTCAGAGAATGAAGACATTCCCTGGAAAGTTTCATAGTGATTGTGAATCCTATTCCTCCATCAGACTATTTGCCAGGCCTCTGAGAAAGAAATTAAATCGATGTAAGAGGGAAAAGAAACCTAGATATTCAGAAAGCCTTTTCTGGGAAGCCATGGATAAGGGGGTCTAAATTCTGTGGCCCATTCAAAAAAAGGGATTTGAACTAGATAACCCCAACGTTGCTTCAGAGGAGTTTTGTGGTGGTAGTTAGTCTTGCACCATAATTCCTAATCTGATTGCCAGGGGAGGCCTGGGAGAAGTCATTCTCTGGGTCAGATAGGGATCTGTCCTCTGATGTCAACCATTCTCAGGAGGTAGAAGTGGGCTGCATGATAGCAGGACTATGGACACCACGAAGGTACAAAAACATCACAAAGACTTCCCCTTTGTGGCATGGCAGAAGTCTCTTTTAGAATGTCATTCAGTCACCGGTCCATCACTCAACAAGCACTGTCCGCTCCGCCCATCTGCTAAAGGTTGTACTTGATGCTTGGGTTAAAAATCAAAGACAACCTTACTCTACTCCCCTCTTGAAATCACACAACCACCTTCGTCTGCAGCAAAGGCAACAGAAGCACAGGGGTTGCTCAGGTCCCACACTGTCCAGGGGCAGAACTTTGCCTCGAAGCCAGGTCTTCCAACACCTGCCCCTTGCTATTCTCACACCATCATACCCGTGATTGCAGTCTCTGCCGCTCCAGATGGAATCAGATGGGCACTAGGAAGATTTTTAAAAAGCTAGATGGAGCCCCTTTTTGCTTTTCTGACGGACTCTTCTATTATCTTATTCTGAACCTAAAGCTCTTGCAAATAGTGAGAGCTGTGAACCATATGCAAGACATGCAAATGTCAACACTGGCCAGCCCAGTGTCATCTCATTCATAGGGTTAGTCTTGCACAGCCCGCAGGATTGCCTCCTTAAATCAAAACCCACTGTCCAAGTTCCCAGTACGTGGACTTCTCCACGCCAAAGATCAAAGAGTGAGTGTTTCTGACCCATGACTATACTGTCCTCATAGGCAAAGACTTACACTATTATCTTTAACAGTTCTTTTACATTTCTTTCATCTCACCTTTTATCAACAAATACCTCAAGGAATTTTTGAAAAGCACCCCTCCAAATATCCAAAAGATTGTACAAAGAATTGCAAGAATGAAAGAAGCACCTTAGATGACCAGAAAGGAGCCCTGACTGACTGCTCAATACCTGGGGTCATGAGGGCTCAATGAATGAAGAGCGGTTTTCCCCAGATGCTGCCTGAGACACTTGACCAGGCCCACGTCCCAAGGCAGAGAGAACTGAAAACAAAGCGGTCTCCAAGGGTGCTGAGCTCCTTCCTTACTGAATACCACTGCTTTCCTGAGAAGCCAGGTGGCAGGATGTGGGACGACCCCCATTGACAAAGACTGTCTGGGGCAGGAGCCTGCAGATGGTTCCACACTGGAGCCCCCCAAACGCAGGCCACCTCTCCATGCACACTTGCCTTACAATGATGCAACTGAAAAAGATGGACCCGGCTCGCGACCTCCGACTCCTTGCACAGAACCCTCTGGAGTGTCTGCAGCACACCCTCCCTGGAAAGGTTAGCTGACTAAGCCCCGGAGGCATCACACCCCCAAATGCGCTGGCTCTGCACAATCTGGAAGAAGCCACAGACAGCATTCTGCAAGGGTCTACGTGGCATGGGCATGCAGCCCTGGGTTCCAAATAATAATAATAATAATAATAATAATAATAATAATAATAATAATAAAATAAAGAAGACACACAAAAAAGAGCAAAACAACAACGACCACCAAGCGGCCTCAGGGGCGCCTCTCCATCAGTGGGAGCTGCAGCCTAAATTCTCTGCATCATCTGAATAGAAAGGCACAGCTGGCTGGAGGGATCCAGGGCTGTCACCCCAACATCTGGCGCGGGGACCTCCACTTCCAGCATTTCAAAACCTACACTGGGCACAAAAGGGTCCACAAGCTGCCCCCCCCTCCCCCTCCGGGACCGCTGCAACACCAGTGCCCGGCCGCCCGGTCCAGCTAGCGAGTCGCTGCCGCCTGCGCACCCCCAGCCCCGGCCCGGGGGAAGGAGCCGCCGGGGCGGGCAGCAGCACGGAGACGTGGCGGTTGGTTACCTCTCCGGGGCGGCGCGATCCTCTCCCGAAGTCCCACGTCCAGGTCAGGGCAGGCGAGCGCCGCAGGCCAGGGTCGGAGCCAGGCGGAGGCGGCGCCCCATAGACAGCGGGCTCGGGCGCGCTCACTGGCTGGGCCGCCGGGGGTGTGATCGCGCCCGCCGCGGCCGCCGTGCTCCCCGGGCCGCTGTCGCCGCTCCGCCCCCGCGGGTTCCGAGCACCCTGCACTCGCCGCTCCGAGGCTGCAGACTGCCAGCTCTCTGTTCTCTCTTTCTGTTTAACCGCGGAGCCGGGCGGGGATTTCCACCTTTCCACCGGGGACTTTCCAGACACGTGACGCGGCGCTGGGAAGGCGGCTGGCAGGCGGGCCGGCGGCCGGCAGGGGGCGCAGCGGGCCAGCGGGCGCCCCGCCCCGTCCAGTCCCCCCCTGTCCCGCCCCCCGCCCCGCCCCGCCCGCCCCGCCCGCGGGTGGCCCCGCCCGCCGCGGGGTGTCCCCGCGTGAGTCACCTGGGCATTTCGGAAGCTGGGGCCTGCCAACGTCACATCCATGTGGAAATCGCTGTGATGGGAACTGGAAATGAAATAGGTTCTTTTTTTTTTTTTTTTCTTCTCGGCCGTTTTTCTGCAGAAAAATCAACTGCGGAGAACAAGAAGGGAAATAGTAAAGAAAGAAAACCCTAAAAAATCACCCGGCGGACCTCAGCCTCTGGGGCCGGTTCGAAAAGCTTTGGTTGTGCACGTGATGAGCTCATAGGGGAGCCCATGAGTCTAGGCCCCCCGCGGGGATTTCGAGAGGAAGAAGCAGTCAAGGTCATCCTCCCCACTCCCAGCGGTTCCTGCCAACCCCGGACCCAGGCTGAGGGGGGAAGGTCCTAGGTGACATCAAGTCCCGTGGCCCTGCGACCTTGAAGTTCACAGGAACAAGGCCAGTCTAGATGGATTTCCCCTTGTTCATTTCTGCACACTAGGTGCCCAGGTGGCGTCACATTCAGGTAGAATTTCAGTTTAGAAATCACTTCGAGTTCATCACTGCTGCCCTGGCTATGTCCCCCTAAGACCTTATAGGAGGTTTTTTAGGTCATCCATCACTCCAAGGAAGATAACACTCCGTATTAAATAACATGGTCACCCACTGTCTTCATCCAGAAATGTCCTGAGGAAATAGGTTATCAGCCACCTGGGCAGTGAGTATGCCTGAGCTATGGAGGGAAGGGCATCCGGTCCCCCACTGGCCCATTTCCTAGAATGGTTAAAGGAGAAGCAGGTTGAAATATTCATTGTCCCCTTGTAGGCTTAAGTATACCAGTCAGGCCATGTAGCTCTCATTTCAAATTAGGAAAATAACGCTTCTTTCTCTGGTAAGAACCTGCAGAGACTGAGGGGTGGGGTGTGTACTTTTTTGGCAAAGGGAAAAGAAGCAGAGTCAGTAGAGGCCAAGGTCTCAAAGCTGGTGCTGCTGGTCATTTGAAACTGAAGGCTGAGATTTTTTCCAAATCCAAACCTCCTAATACTTGTACTCTCCTTATTCACAAATGTTTTTAGCAGCCAAAACTCAAACAATGGATAGTCAAACTAGTAATATAATAATCAACCGAAGGACTTGTATACACACATATAAGCACAACTAATGGACAAAAGACACTGGGGGTGGGAGGGCATGTGCCAGGCGGTAAGGGAGACTAGGGGAAGGTCAAGGGGCAGGGGAAGGAGATATATGCACTATTTATATATATTTATATATTTTATATTTTTATATTTTATTTTATTGTTTATATACATATATAAACAATAAAATAAAATTTAAAAAGATAGTAATAATAATAATAACAACAATGTTTATTGAACCTTAACTACATGCCA